ACTATATTATTTTATTTTATTTGAGCAGCTTGCTATTTAAATTAATTTGTTTACCAACTTTAATTTGCATACTTTACACTTGACTACACTTTTGCTAACTATTATTTTTCGGCTATGTAAAATAAATCGTTCAAAATGTATTTTACTGTGTAATCATATCATATCAATTGTTATCAAACAGAAAAGTTTTGACAAAAAAATGTTGACATGTTTGGGATTCAAACTTTGCTAATAATGTTGCCAGTCATGAAATACAATAAAATAGTTATTATAATAAAGAAATGATGATTAAGAAGATGACATCAAAATGAATAAATAATTAATAATAATTGTTTTTGTGTTTAAAAGATATTCAAGGTTGAAGATAATTGTAAGACAAATTTTAATGAAGAAGATAATAATCGTAATGACATAATCAACTTTTCAAAATTTGGCCCATGGGATGAACTAGCATTATTTGATCAGGTAAATTAGGGTTTTGATGTTTTCAACCATTAGTGTTTTTTGTTTTAAATGTCAGTTTAATAAACATCATAAGAAAACTGTATTTTTAAAATGTGTTGATATAAAATTGTAAAAATATATCATAAAAATATGTCGGACGCTTTTAGTGTTAAGGTAGGAGTGCATCAAGGATCAGTGTTATTACCATTTTGTTTGCAATTGTAATGGATGTTGTGTGTGTGGAAACAATGGAGGGGTTGCTATTTGAGATTTTGTATGCAGATGATTTAGTCTTGATAGCATGGAAAAATTGCAGTTAAAATTTGACAGATGGAAAAGTGTTATTGAAAAGAAAGGGTTTAAAGTTAATATAGGTAAGAAGAAGGAAATGTTGAGTGGGGAAGGTGGGGAGAGAGTGATAAGTAAAATAGACCCCTGTGAGGTATGTGACAGGAGAGTGAAGACTAACTCGGTATTGTGTACAGGATGTCAGAAGTGGGTGCATGAGAGATGTAGTGGTGTGAGGGGGGCACTGAAAAAGGTGGAAGGCACGTTCAAAAGTAAGAAATGTGTTCATGGTGTGATTAATAGGAAGGACGCAAGAACGGGGTTGAGTGGTGGTATTGAAAGAGTGGAAAGCTTTGTTTATTTAGGGGTTAAGCTGAACGCGGATGGAGAATGTTTGAGCGCTGTTACGGCTAGAGTTCGTGTTGAATGGATGAAATTTAGGGATCATGGTGGGGCATTGTGTGGAAAGAAATGGTCAGTGAAGATGAAAGGGATGGTATATAAAGCATGTGTGAGAGCAGCGATGGTATATGGTGGTGAAACTTTGGTGTTGAGGAGAGAGGAGAAAAGTGTACTGCAGAGGGCTGAAAGAGCTATGGTGAGGATGATGTGTGAGGTTAAATGGGAGGAGTTTAAGTTATAGGAGGAGTAGTACAGAGCTGATGTCAATGATGGGACTTAATGACGACATTGTGACATTGATAAGGAGATCGAGATTGCGGTGGTATGGTTGAGAAGGGATGAAAGGTCGGGATAAGGTGAGCGTTGGAGTTCGAGGTTGAAGGAGTGATAGGAAGGGGTCGTCCGCGATTAGGATGGAGAGAGCAGGTGGAGAAGGACAGAGTGAAAGCGAGGTTGCATGATACTGAGGTGAGTGACAGATGTGAATGGTGTCGAGGGGTATTTCGGTTTCATCATAGGTAGCCAAACGGCATTTCGGCATACCTATGATGAAACCGAGGGGTATTTCGGTTTCATCATAGGTAGCCAAACGGCCAAACGACATTTTCCCCGAGATCGGAGAAAATGTCGTCTAAACGTGTGTTGTAGTTGTATATCTTAAAAATATACTTAAAAAATTATAACATTTGAAAGAAAAGTAAAAAAAGTGTGTATGAGTATAGTGTTTATTTACATCAGCCGTTTGCAATCTTGAATGCCGACTTCCGTGATGTGACGATCTAGAATTATAAAATTATTTTCTCTTAGACATTCATACCCTATGTTACTCTGCTTTTGCTATTCCAATATCACAATTTACTGTACTTTTGCTGGCCCTATATTACAATTTAAATAAATTAAAAACTACGTTTTTTTAAATCAAAAATAGTATGCAATAATAAATTGGTGCTATATAGTATGTGCACAAAAACAAAATGTTAGTGAAAAAAAAGTTGAGCTTGTTTTTGTTTTACAAGATCAGAAATTCTAGGGTCAGTCTTTAAGAGCACATCGAAGGCCATCTTCTGCGTTGAGTCTACTGATATATTTAGATTTTATAACTAAAATACTGGAGAATACCGTTTTGCAAAAAAATGTTTTTGGAAATGGAAGAAGGCGCAACACAGTTTCAGAAACCATGATTTCAAAGATTTTATTCAAAACTACTAATTTGACATGAAAGCGAAATTATATTTTACCGCATCTCTATTATTTAGTGATGGTTCTATGTCAAAATATCAATTCGATTTCGATTATTTTTAGGTATAAAATTAAGATTTCGATTTTATCAAATGAAAGTCAACTCAATGATTTTTTTTTAATTTTTTTTTGAAACAATATAAATGTTTAAATGTTATAAATAAATTATCATAAGTCTTAAAACATGTTAGAACTCATAACAAACGCTCAATCAGCTTCAAACATTCAATCAACTTTTTGTTCGTAACCAAACTAAATTCCGTGATAAAAAATTTTGTCTAACGATAACGATAGTAAAAAATGCTGTTTAACTAATCATTTTTTGCTTTAAAAATATTTTATCTCAATTGTTAGTAATATAAAGTTGAAAAAAATTACCACGCAAAAATTAATCGAAGTCGAATTGCTACGCTTATTACAAAAATTGAAATCAAAATCGAGTCGAGTCGAATAGGTGTTGATATCCTAACAAAACATAGTTTTAAAATTGATTTAAAAAACGCGTCCTTAGATAGCGAAATACGGATATAGTAATGAAAACTAGCGATGTGAAATGTATTCGTATAACGATCGAAAGTGATATTGAAGTACCGAAAATAATTGGCGATACTGGAGACCACCAATTCTGCCTGGTTGAGCAGACGACGGTGGAAAATAATAACATTGTTATTGGAAGAGTCTCGTAAAAATCTTACACGGTCTCACCTGGAAAACATCTACTCGGACGATATAATTGTTTTATAATAATCTTAAAAATCTTTCAACCAGCATGTCGAAAATTTATGAGATATATTTTTGAGGCTTTAAGCAGCGAACTGAACAGCGAGCAGAACGTTAGAAAGGGCAAATTGCGAAAAAAGTGAATTACTTGGGACATGTCATATCTTCCAATGGAGTGATGGTAAAAAGTTGGCCAACTCCGAAAGATAAGAATGAAGATAAGAAGAGTGTTTCCTCGGATTAGCAACCCCAAACTAGCGACGTTTCGTAAAGGATTTTGCAAAAATTGCACGATCACTCAACTCACCGAAAGTAAAAGAGAGTTTAATTGGGTTGAGTGTGTGAAGCAGCTTTTTAACGACTAAAAAGAAAATTATTTGGAGCTACCTTGTCAGCTTATCCAATCCAATATACAATATGTGCTAAATAAGGATGCAAGCAACTGTGGAATAGTAACAATTTAGTCAACATGTCAACAAGAAGAAATGGTTTTGGCCTATTACAACAAAGCCTGAACCAGAAAAAAATTGTTGGCGATGGTCATGGCAACAAAACATTTCCACAAGTACTGACAAAACTTTCCTTTTCGAACGGATCATGCAGGGTTAAAGTGGTTGCTCAATTTCACAGATCCAGAAGAACAGGTGGCACATTGGTTGAAACGATTACAAATGTACGACTTTGAATTTTTGCACCGTAAAGGAACTTCCCACAACAATGCCGATGCTCTTTCTCGTTGATCTTGTTTACCAGGTTGTAAACACTGCAGTTGACTGGAAGAGAAAGTACAAACAGAAGATGTATGATAAACTACGATAAAACAGATACAGAATGGGCTTTAGAAGAACTGGCAAGCACACGAAGATTTACAATTTGCATGGAAGAAATCAGGCCGGCGACCTGAATGGCAAGACATATCTGAGTTCTGTTGGTCGTTGAAAAACTACTGCGCTCTGTGGGATTCTTGCGTTTATTGGAATCAACATCAAAACATCGCATGCAAATTGTGGTAACTAGGAACAAAATTGCAAATGTATGGTGGCTCATCAGGAGGACATCTTTGAGTAAATACCAATAAATTGACAAAATACGTGAGTGATTCTACTTGATTAACGCTCAAGAAGATGTGGAAAGTTAGTGTCAAAATTGTAGTACGTATACGTTGCAGTGAAAGGTCACGAAAGGAGGTTACAAGGAAAGATGCAAATCTATAATATTGGTGTGCTCTTTGAAAGAATTGCTATCGACATTACCGGACCATTACCTGAATAAATGATGGAAACGGACTGGTTATGAGTATTTTAGCATGTGGCAAAAGTGTATCCGATACCAAACCATATGGCTTGTATCGTACCTGAAAAGATTGCAATGAACTGGATCAGTTGGTCGGTCGATATGGTGTTCCCACGGAGATGCATTCAGGTCTTGCTCGACCAGGACGGTCGCAAACAATCAGACAGTTGGGGCAGTTTTAACAATATGTTAGAAAATTCAAATCTTTCTCTTCAAACAATGAGGATGGATAACAATGCCACTATTCTAAGTACATTTTTCATATGGCATTAAAACTTAAACAACATAAACAAAATGAGCAAAATACTCAACAGTTTTCATTTAAGGAAATAACGCAGTATATTACAAATCTCCTGACACCAATATTTTCTCTAGTGCTGCTCTCTAGTATATACACATGCTGAGAATTCGCCGACTTTTATGGCATAGACATGTTGGTGCAGACTGCGACTAAGATCATCTTTATAGATTATTATTATTAATTTATATCGCGTCCTATGCATAGCTCCAGGGACGCTTGGATAAACAATGACTTTTGACGTTTCAGTAGGCCTGGATAAAAAAAGTTCATTAATTGTCCTCTAAAAAATATGATGGTTGGTTGTTGACGAATAATGGCGGGCAAACTATTCCAAGTGAAAGAAGAGCTAGCAGTACGTAAAACATTTGTTGACAACTGATGAATTGCTGACAGGTTGATGCAACTGAGTATATGAAGACGAACGAACTTGATGAATTGATGAATAGCGCGATATAAGTTGATGAAGTTGATGATGGTTGAGATGTAATAAGTAACATGTATGTAACTTGTGAGGACAACGAGTTTAAATATAAGGTTGTAACTCTATAACATAATTAAGGATGCGAAGAAACACCAACGTACCATCATTATCATATTGTTGGACATCCCCAACACATTCGGTGAAATCAGCCATACAATCATTTCTTATACTCATGATCCTCACCACACCACATTCTTCTTCAAACAATCAAACTAATTAAATCTATATACACAGATTATTCAATAACTGTTTCTGGCTGTGAAAGTTAAACCAATCCCGTTAGACGAGTGGGGCTGCAATCCAGCTGAGTTCGGTGCCGTGTCCCATATCCGGGTAAAGGAGGAGGGTTGACAGGAGCTTGCTAAACTGTTTTAAAGACACTACAAACACGATGGTAAACACAACAGCAAATAATCACACCGGTTCGGTCGTCACCGGGGCAACAAGGACCGCATTGCAGCTTTGCAGACTTGGATCTACAATGAAAAGTTTGTTACTGAGTCTCAAAGAGGTAAAATGAAGATGAAATTCACAGTTGGAATTTGGAATGTGAGGTCACTGTGGCAAGCTGGAAGATATACGATGCTGAAAAAAGAGCTTGGGAGGTGTGGATATGATGTGATAGGTTTGTGTGAAGTTAGATGGACAGGAAGCGGAGAATTTGAGAACGGAAAACTGTTATGGTTAGGCACAGAAACCGAGCATATTCATGGAGTGGGAATGATTCTTGGAGAGAAAGCAAGAAGAGCATTAATTGAATACAATCCGATTGATTGTGTAGCTGACTTCACCGAATGCTTTGTGGATGTCCAAAAATGTGATAATGATGAATCGTTGGTGTTACTTCGCATCTTTAATCATGTAGGTGACATCTGAGTATGTTTAGTCATGTCATTCATTAGGTAGAATCGTTTTTTTTAATATTTCAATTTATTTATTGGTTTCCTGAAAACGATACATTCTTCTTTCTCGTGCCTTATCCTTTCAGGACATTTTACCATAATACGATCTTTAGAAAACCCGATACTTCCTATTATTTATTTATTTATTAATAATGAAAATATTTTGTAGTTTAATTGTATCAGTTGTAACGTTATAAGACGAAAATTTGTTGAGTTGTCTCCTTTTTTATGGATTTGTATAGTAAATCCATTTTTCCTACATGTAGAAATGTTTAAATTATCGAGTATGTTGATGAAGTTGAAAGTAGGTGTTGACTAATAAATAGTTTACAGTCAAAGTGGATTTTAGTGACTGGTTGATTGTTAAAAGAAATTTGTTCGTGGTGTTTGTTAAGAGACTGGTATATTTTTAAAAGGAAACTGTCTGTCGTTTATTGAAGGAACCGTTGGATGGCGTTCGTTGAAGAAAAATGTTGTGTCGCGTTTGTGGAAGAAGAATGTTGAAAAATGTTCAATGTGTGTGTGTTGTATGCGTATATTTGTGTGAAAGTTTAAACATGAAATTTCTAAAATTAAAATTTATTATTAATAGATGTTCATAAATTAATTGCTTATCATGATACTTTAAAAGTATTTTAAATTTTAATGAAAGAAATTAATATGTTATAATATCAGTCGGTTTTGATCGTTTGGAAATGATAAAGTGTAATTTAATAGCAGAAATTTAAAAATTTTTGCTTTACACTCACTAATTGCCACAAAACATCTTTCGACTACAATACAAATTTATCATTATTATGCTAAAATGGATTTCTATATTCAATAGTTCTATTCTATAAAATAAGTCATACAATTAATAGTCTTTCCAAATATTTCCTACGTTGAAATGATTTAGTTATTTAAATTATATTTAAATTTTTTCTCTCACCGATTTAAATCTCACCAATATTTAAAAAAATAATGCTATTGTTAATTTGATTTCTAAAAATTTTCATTTAATTTTTTTAATTAATTGAAATGATTTTAGTTTCTGTCAGTCTTGATAACTATTGTTAGAACACTTCCTGAAAATTGTCGAGAAAATCATTGAGAGAAGATTAACGTCGTGCATTACAATCGGAAATTATCAATTTCCCCGCTAGGAAACCAACAATTGATGCAATTCACATCCTTCGGCAACTGCAAGAGAAGTACCTCGCAAAGCATCAACAACCATCACACATTTTTGTAGACCTTAAAAAGCATTTGATCGAGTTCCTCGTGAAGCAGTCAGGTGGAGTCTACGTCGACAACCCATTCCAGAATATCTTGTTCGACTTGTGATGGAAATGTATACGAATGCTAAGACTCTCGTCAGCACAGCTATTGGAAACACTGATGCATTTGACATCGGCGTTGGAGTTCACCAAGGCTCGATTCTCAGTCCACAGTAAAAAACCGATACGCACTGGTGACGTTTGGAATCTGATATATGCTGATGATATATGCGTTTTAACAGCCACGTCTGGACAAAATGCAGCACAGATGTTTGAAGATTGGAACACCAGATCATGGATTCAAAGTCAATATCAGCAAAACCAAAGCAATGAACACTGGTGAACCCATCCAATCCACAGCTACTTGTAAAGTTGATGTAGGTAACAATTTAATCAAGTGTCAGTAGTGGTGTCACAAGCGTTGTTCAAAAATAATTGGTACTATTTCTAAAGTGTCTGATTTTGTTTGTCCTGTTTGCATCAATCAACAACAACAACCTCGAAATAGCACTGTTTTTGAAGCCATTAAGGTGAGAAAGTCAGATCGTTTCAATATCTAGGGGATGTTCTGGATTGTACTGGAATAGCTGAAGCTGCCGTTCGGGCACGCATACGTGCAGCCTAGAATAAATGGCATCTTCTTGCTTCTATATTGATGCGGCGTGACATCCCACTTTATAAATTTGTGATACGTCGGGTGTTATACGGTGCAGAAACATGGCCAATGACAACCAAACTGGAACAACAACTTCAACGAACCGTCACGAAAATGCTCCGAAGCTGAAGGACCACATCAAATCTACCGAAATCCTGCGTCGTGTTGGTTTTGATGATATAAAGGACGAATGCCGGCAACACCATAACTTCTCTTGCAGATGTTGAAGTACTTGGCACACGACCCAAAGGCCGTCCAAAGAATCGTAAACAATCGAGCATGACATGAAAGCTCTAAATATAAATGAAATGGATACAACTGATCGTCTAATTTGGCGCAAAAAGTTGATAGCAAATAAAACAACGTCCTACCTCGGGGAACTGGGTCTCTGGACGCTAAACGAAGATTGATTGATCTTGTTAACTATAACAAACTGAACCTGCTCCATCACTATAAAAAACTTCTAAACATTAAATCCTGTTAAAAAGTGTCGAATATCGAGTTTTTAACGTTTTTACGATTTAATCAGTTGATCTAATCATTTTTAAATAATTTAAAAAATATGCTTAAAACGATGACATTAAACGAACAGATTAGGTGGACTTTAGGCAATGATGAATCGTATGCTAACCTTCTTCGATGTATTAGATTATTTAACAATCATCTAATCAGTGGCTCCAAGTTATGGAATCTGATAGATCAGTTTATTAGGTTGGACTTGACGTTATTCAGTTATTGTTTGTTATGCAATTTTTCCAAATTAACGGCATTTTAATGTGAAGATTATAATGTCAGACATTTTCAAGGTTTTTGTGCTTGTTAAATTGTATAACGCTGTAAATTGTTAAATTTTATATCGTTACAACATTATTTCAATGTGAAGATTATAAATATCAATGATCTTTTCAAGGTTTTTTTTGTGCTTGTTGAATTGTATAACGCTGCCTCATACCGGGGTGCACTAGCAGGTAGTGGATAGGGGGATGTCCTTTTAGGAATAATACGGAATACGGCGCCGCGAACCAACTGTACCAGAAGAAAGAAGACAACGGTGAAAGAGGCGGAGGATCCTAGGACAATGGCTTCGATTCTTAATCCACTTATTTGTGGAACAAGGAGTTTTGACCCAAAAGCTAGTGGCGTTGTTTACAACAGTGCTCTCTTGGGCACGAGATAAACTGCAACCGCGCTGTCTTGTGTGCTGGAGGCCTACTGCTTCTAACTGGTGGTTGTCGTTAGGAATTTGGCAATTCGAAATATAAACATTTTTTGACCCAAACATCTTCCATGTCATCACAAAAAAGGAAAAGATTCCTTATTCCCTAGAAGACCTTAAATGGTCAAGGGGTGACAATATCCAGGAAGTACCCAACAGTAGAGGGATGTTGCGAAAATCGGGCGTCAGACTTGGCACTTTAAATCCTGGATCGCTTACTGGACACTTCATGGAGATCGTCGACATGCTGGAAAGGCGAAGGGTTGACAACTGTTATCTGCAGGAAACAAGATGGAAATTAAATAGTGTTTCATTTATTGTGAGTTACAAGTTGTTCTGAAATGGCCAAAAGACAGCCCAAACTGGAGTAGAAATCATCATACAGGAATCACTGGCACAAAATGTACTGGAGTTGGTTCGAATCAGCTCACGCCTAATGCTGATTATACTCAGAATGGGAGAACAAGTTCGGATTCTGTTCTCTGCATATGCACCACAGACCGGTAAATCTAAAGACGCCAAAAATGTTTTATGGAACAAACTCAGATGGCGTCAGGAAAACACCATCATTGGAGATGATAGTATATGGTGACCTCAACGGCCATGTTGGAGATAAATCAAATGGAGGCTTTGGCTACGGGTCTCAAAACAAAGACGGTGTACGGATTCTGGAATTTGCTGGTGGCCGATATGGAATGATCACGCCCTGTGACTAATCGAATGCTTACTAGGATAAAGACATGGAAGCTGAAAAACCCTATGTTCATGAGGAAATTCTCGGAGTTGGTTTCGGCACAGCTAGATCGGATCGTCTGGAAAAGGTAGACATAACCTGGAAATCTTTTCAGGACACCCTGCAACAGCTGTATGTGGAAAATCTGGACCAAAACGCCAGCACAATCGCAAAACTTGGTGGTGGAGCGAGACGGTGCAAAGTGCGAAAGAAAGAAAGCAGCTTTCAAAAAATGGTAGAAGACGAAGACTGATGAAGATCGAAATACATACCGATTAGCGTGATGGCTCAATTGTTAAAGGTTCTTGCTATTGCAATGACTGGGTTCAAATACAAAAACATCCCCGCCTATCATATGCAATGTGTAAGATGCGTGGTTTGCACGCGTATTCATACGCTGTGTGTGTTTGTCGTTGAAACCTCTGAAGCAAACGCAAAAGAAAGAGTAACCTTTAATGAACACAGTAGCGAATGTCAGGTTGCGATAGCTCGTTCAAATCATTGCGAACTGGAAGTAAAGGCGAACAAATTCGGTCACACCACCGAATTCCAAATTAGGCAAAAAGACTGAAAAATGATATAGTTGGTGCTGGAGTTGGAAGCAACTCGATCAAATGCTTACATCGTCAGCAGTAGTGTCAGACGTTGCTCGAGAATTACCGGCTCACTGAGGAAAGTGATTGATTTCGTATGCCCCGCCTGCATCAACCCGCGACAACGTAGCCCAGATAATGATACGATTACCGGGATCGAAACTGTTACTTTATTTCAGTATTTGGGAGATATGCTGGATTGTACTGGAACACCTGATGCCGACGTTTGTGGACGCATACGTAGCATTACCGGCTAGCTGAGCTGCGCTCAGAGCTATACAACACAGCTACACGTTCTGTTCTGTTCTGATGTATGGTGCAGAGACGTAGCCGATGACAAGAAAACTCGAACAGCAGCTTTACCGAATTGACATGAAGATGGTTCGTTGGATGCAGCATGTTGACATGTTGACCTAAATTTACAACATACATCAAAGCTATCCGTCTTCTCATTTTACACCTACCTCGTAATCTCAATAGAAAGAAAAATGCCAACAAAATCAAGAAAACACCACGACGTCTGCCTATGGCTCAAGAAAACTTAACAACGAAATCCCGACGTGACCCAAAAAAAACGCAACCAATGGCCAAAAAAGGCGTTTTAATATATATATATATATATATATATATATATATATATATATATTATATATATATATATATATATATATATATATACATATAGTGACAAATCTAGACATAATATAGATATGATAAAGTTATTATATTGATGTCTCCCAACAAAAAGATGCTGTCTGTCCTGGGCAGCTGGGATATAAATTAAAATTCCTGATAAAAATTAGAATTCCTGCCAATTCTATAAATCCTCGATTTTACACTGCCATTTGTAGGTTTCCCTCATAGAACCACTATCAACCAAGAGCGTCTACTAAAGGCAGGCGATGTTTTTAAGGTTGATAAATTCCCTATTCATTATGGCAGTTATTCTTGTATCGTCCAAATGCTGCAGACCGGTAGAGACGGGGGCACAAGACTCTGATGTATAATTAGCAAGCTGGAGAGTTGAAAATTTTGTTCACAGTGTTTTATGTTCTGTGGTTAAAAGGCCAACTTCGAGCTGATGCTCAAAGAAGATGTATAACCAATCCATAACGGGACTGCATTTTTATTACCAATAATACAGATTGTAGCTACATAATCACAACTACAATTTCGCTACAAAACCTCACACTATACAATGCGCAAATCTCCACTTACATATATACAGTTTTACAATCGATGACGAATAGCAAAGACAACAAAGATCACAAACAATAATTATGTGCAATTACCATTTCGGTGAGGGTTATGTTAATGGGCGTTTTTCTTTGTTCTGAAAATGTATTCAAATGGATAAGCTTCATCTTTGCCCGATGTCTTTCGTAGATCACGTTATTTATCATGTTAATGACTTAACACCGATGTTTCCAAATCCTTGGGAGTTTATATATTAATACATCAGGATTGGCCGATGGGTGTGGAAAGGTTCGACTGCAGTAAGCTGAACAAAAATGGTCAACGTCTTCTCGTATTCTCTCCATGAACTCTGTCTAACAAACACAATTTTCAACTGTAAAGAGATACATCAGTGGTTACTGGCATCAGTTCGTTGATCTCGCTGTTGTCAAACTAATTAAAAGCTCAAGATTTCTACACTTGTTGGCTAATGTTTGATAATTTGTTGTATACTATCTTGTCTTTTGCCCAAACTTACGAACATTTGGTGAATTTCTTGGCTCCCGTCGAATTTTAAATTTCAAAATTTTTATATTCGCCACCCCGTCAACGTTGTTTAGATTTGTCACTTTACATATGTATGTTTTTAAAAATGGTTGCCCAGCGTGCGTTTATAATCTTTTTTATTAAAACCTCAACACTTCTGAGTTTGTTGAATTCATATTTATTGAGAGGAAAATTATTATTGAGCTTGGCTGACAGTACTGTTTCGTAGTTAACCTTCGCCTGAGCCTATTAGATCAAAAAACACATAGTCAGAAATGCAAAATTTGAAATAAAATAATGTGAAATTTAAGTAAATGAGCAGTTGAATTAATAAATTAAATATTAATTAAGTTAAAATATGAGAGTAACCTTCGAATATTAATGACATTATATATATATATGACATTATATATATATATATATATATATATAAAAGGAAATATAAATGAAATTACCAAGATAATAAAATAACGATAACTGAGAAACGAAATGAAATTATAAAATTGGAAAGTAATATAGTGAAGTTAGTATTAAAAGCC